TATTATTACTAAATAGAGATAATTGTTGTAATAGAGGAAAATAAAACAAATATAATTTAGTCTCCCTGTATTCTTATTTCAGTCAGTGCGCGCGCACCGTATATTTTTCGGCTTTTTTTTTTTCAAAACCTGTTTACATCCCGGCGAGACCTAGTATAAGGATACTGTCGTTATAAACATCAACATGTATAACTGTTCCGAATATTCATATATACATGTATCTATATAAATCTACAAAGGCATTTGATAAATTCCTGCATGTGATAGAAAGGCGCATCTGATGTGATATTTGTATTATTGTCAGCAATACTTTTCTCTTCATATTGAATTTTAATTAAATATATAATTTATTTTCTTAGTATACCTGCACGGTGTTTTTACTCTCATGTAAAGCCAAGAAAAATCCCCCCCCCCCCCTGGGAAAATAAGCATTATCTTAAGCTTATCTTATCTTATTCAAACCTGTTTAGAAAACCTTAACAAATGGGTAACGGGGAAAGATCAGGGTAACATAGCTCTTTTAAGAGCAACCGAGCAAAGGAATGAATGGAGAACCATTGGCACTTAAGTAGACAAATCTGACGGACTTTGGAGCTCTCAAACCCGGTTGTTGTTGTTTTTAAACCCCGATAAATGTGATGTCCAAGGAAATTTTTAGTTTTCACTATTTAGCTGAATGTGTGAAATCTTTTTACTCATGTTTAAAATCTGTACCGCATTTCTCTCTAAAGTCTGGACCATTTATCTCTTAGTCTAAAATCTTCAACACCACGTTTTGTCTTTGTCGAAATTCTTCATCCAGTATCGCTCTGTCATAAATCTTTACCATTTATCTTTTTACAATATTCATAACCAAGCAAAAAACATCTTTGGCATTTATCTTACTTAACCCCTTAAATCTTCATTATTTATCACTTTAAAATATCCACCTTTTATCTCTAGGTTCCATAATGTTCACTTTTATCTTTTCCAAATCTACACTATTTATCTCTTTATCAATCTGAATCATGTATCTTTATTTATAATATCTCCATTTAATTAAATTTCATCTCTCTAAAATCTTCGCCATTTACCTATTTGTCTAAAATCTCAGCCCTTTATTTGTAAGGCAAAAACCGTTACTAATTAGCTGTATGTTTATACTGCATCATTTACTTAAACTTATCAGTCTCAAATCTTCTACATTTATCTTAAGTTATATTTACAACTGAGCTCTCTCTATTTCTTCAAAATTTGACTTAATAGTCCATGTCTAAAATTTTCACTATGTGCAAAATGTTCATAGTGTAGCATTTAGCTTTAATTTTAGTAAGAGTTTTACGGCACTTGCAATACAATAAGGTCAAATACGTGCCGAAGAATAGGTGTTTTACAAGAGAGTAATATACCCAAAAAAGAAGGAGAGATAATGACGATTGACGTTTGATAGGAAAGAAGGAGCAAATCATACCAGAGCACCTGCCAACCACCCATCAGTGTAGTTTTATGAATAAAACGACTCACAAACCTTAATCTCAGTGATCAGTTGTAGTCGCCTGTTGTAATCATAGCAGTTGCTGGACATCCAGGCGGAGAAGCGATTGTTTTCCCGCGCCCAGTTGACCTTGGCAGACTTGTTGAGCTTAAGGCTAGGGGGTTGTGGGTAACTGGTGTAGCCGCCATATCCCACAGGGACGTCAGAATCTCTGGGGAGGGAATTTAATTGAAGCTGTTGTTGTTGTTGTTGTTGATGATGGTGGTGGTGGTGGCAAAGAAAGAGGTGATTTATTGAATCTGAGAGTAGGGGGTTGTGGGGTCTGGTGTAGCCGCCGTATCCCACGTCAGAATCTCTGGGGAGGGATTATTGATGAAGTTGTTGTTGCTGTTGTTCATGGTGGTGATGGTTGGGGGGGGGGGAGTGATGGTGATGAAGGAAGTGATTTTTTAAATCTGGGAGTAGGGGGTTTGGGGCATCTAGTGTAGCCGCCATTTCCTACAGGGGTGTCAGAATCTCGGGGGTGATTATATTCAAGTCGTTATTGATGTTGTTGCTGTTGTTGCTACTAGTAGTGGCGGTGGTGGTGGTGGTGGTGGTGGTGGTGATGGTCGGGTGTTTTTGGGGGTTTTTTTGTTGACTTTTTGAATCTGAGAGTATGGGATTTGGGGTATCTGGTACTGCCGCCGTATCCCACAGAGACGTCAGGGTCTCTGGGGAGGGAATATGCCGTGCATAAAATTCGTTCATTTTTCAGGTGATCTGAGCTTTCAGCACACTTTGTGGTCTGATGGAGCATTTTTTTTTATCGTAGTACAGAAGTTGTCAAAGTTAAGATGCCCCACACCAGGGCAGTGCTACTGACTGAAGGTGTCTTTAGGCCATTCCTAAAGGGGGGATATTAATCTGTTCTTATGCACAGTAGAATTGTAAATGGTCTGATTTATCAATGTCATGCTCATACTGTGTCGGAACAAAATTGGGGGAACTTCAGCTTTTTCTTTCCTCATCCTTGCTATCGTAATTTTTCCTCTACTTCTATTGTCTGTTTGTCACTCTCTTGCGAACTGCTATTTCCAGGGTGCCATGATAGTTGAAGCAGACTTCGTGGTGTTGTGGCTAGAGAGGTGAGCAGAGAAAGCCTGATTCCCCGTTTGGACTTCTCTGTTGACATCCACCCCTTGGCGCTCATATGACCCCATGCACTTGCGAGCGCCGTAAAAACTTTACTAAAACAAAACAGAAGTTAAGATTCCCCGTCAGAAGAAAAATTGCGTAGACAGATTCAGTGTCACTGCTGCCTAATCCGCTTATATTTGAGATGCAGCCTCGCTTAAACAATTTTGCCACTTGTCGGCGAACACTCCATTGAATTAAAAATGTGTGCTCTAGCGTGCTTTTAAGAAAGCATGAGAGCCTTCTGAGACTTGGTATTCCTACCTGTTGGTCCCGCAAACTTTAGCATCACAGAAATTTTTGACGGCTACAAAAGTAATTTAAAAAAAAAGAAAATGTGTATGTAATTTGTAAGAAAACAAAAATCATGGTACCTGCCTTTGGTTCCTTTTCAATGTGGGTAGGTTCAAACTGCGCACACTGAAGAAAGGCTTTTTGGTATATACTGATGTCTGTCCACAATGTTGAAGGTTTTATTCCGCTTGCTATTTTTCCCCAGAAATCTAACACCGAGCAGCAGTACTTTCGAGTTTTTCATCAACCGCTTTACTACGCCATTATTTGCTTATACTTTTCTGTCTTTATTCGGGTCATCGCGGGTATTGAAAATAATATGTCATTAAAAGCATTTAAGAAACAACGTTTACAACATGAGCAGGTAGTTTATTTGGGGTAATTTCAACAATAAAATACGGTGAAAATATGAAATTGATGTAAGTTGAAACTTGATTTTAAAAAGTCAATCAATACTTAATGGTTTACTGGACTGTATCTTGGTTCAAGGCTGTGAGTCTTCCGCCCAGTTTTTTCCAGGCCGCTGCCCACAAAAAAAAACGGAATTCTGTATTTGTGATCCGTCCGGTGTCTTGTTAAGGCTGCAGAAAATTCAGGTCTTTTTTTTTTTTTTGCAAGTGTATTACGACGCTCGCAACTGTATACGGTCATATGAGCGCACGGGACACATTAACATTAATTTCAGTTTGGCAAGAATTAATTTTGAATTTTGCCCGGGTGGCACCGAAGCCGACTTTTATCAATTTTAGGACAACAAAGGGATTTTGAACGTGCGCAACTTGCACTCGGGACCTCCGATTTCTTTTCGCCCTTATCCGAGAAGACTAGGGGTGTGATGTTACCTACCCTAAGAACAGGGGAGCTGCTGAAAGACACCAGTAAGAAGGAGCCAGGAGTAGCAGTAGAAAAGGGTCAGGAGCTCAGAAAAAAGGAGAAAGGGGGGGGGGCACAAAGTGGAGATTAAAGAAGATGAAGGAACATGAGTAGAGCTCAAAAAGGTGGAAAAGGAGCAAATTTAAGAGAAGAAGATTTTCCGTCGCTGCAAGGTTCCGAACCCGAGACCTGCGGAATGAAACACGAACACCTGACCTCAAGACCACGAGAGCCCCTATTCCAGACTGGAAGCATGGAATTTTAAAGGTAAAAATATGTGTGATATGGTATGGGTTTAATGCGCTTATCAACACTATTGCATTATTTGTAGGTTTGATTAACGTCCATCTCCGAAAGGACCGAGCCAAATCCAAAATTTGTGTAACTTGCCTTTTTCAAAGACACAATGCCGGACTGAGCTGAGGCTCGAACTTTATTATGACTTACTATTGGCGCCCCCCTCCCCCCCCACCCCCCCCCCCTTTCCCTGAAGATCTCACAATTAATAGATATAGCGAAAGAAAAAAAAACCCGAGATAGTGCTAGCTCTCACATAACACGATCAATTGTCCTGCAAGGATCGTTTTACTCTGACTAGTTCAAAAGAAGGTCGGGGCGGGGGGTATAAAAGCGGACAGACCGTTCAGCATGGAACAGTGATGGGGACAATCAATCATCCTTCAGTCCGTTTCATTATCTGCCGGTTGGTTTCGTTTCATAGCTTTGTTAGCGTAAACATGTGATTCCTCATTTATTTTTATCATTTCCGACTTTCCAGTCTGTTTTGAGTTTGAGTGGGTTTTTTTTTTTATAGATCAAAAGATCCACTTACAATTGATCTCCCGAGTGTTTTTTCGCAATTGATTGGTTTTTCCTCAGAACTCGAACATTTCAGCGTCTTTGCTGCTGCTGTTGCTGCTGCTGTTATCGATTGAACTGTTTCTGTTGCTACTTTATGTTTAGAAAGAAGGTAAAAGAGGAACGGGGGAGACCTATAGGAAAAGGACATAGAAACCTGACTTGGAACCAGAACCAAAACAACCCAGGCAGGTAGAAGGCAGGAGTTTTTTGTTGCAGAAAAGTCCGAAAAGCAAAGTCCAACTACTAGAACAGCTAAAAGCAATAAGAAGACATTTCTTGTTTAAAATATAGGCATTTGATGGGACCAGCATCTGTGGTGCAGAGGTGGGATTTTTTCATCAAAGCACACAAAAGACACGAGTTTGATTCCCGCGTGAAAATAATTCATTTTATCCAGTGTCTCTGTTTTGTTGGGGGGGGGGGGGGGGGGGTTGTTGACAATTCAGGGATCGAAAGACGAGCAAACTCTGGTGTGGTTTGCTCCTTCTTTCCTACCAAACATCTATCGTCCTTATCTCTCTCCTCCTTTTTTTGTGTTTGTTACTCTCTTGTAACACCTCTAATCTTCGGCACTTATATGACCTTATTGTGTTGCAAGTGCCGTAAAACTCTTACTAATACTAAAACTAAACTCTGGACACATGACAGAAGCAAACTCAGGACACATGACAGAATCAAACACTAGACTTTTACAAGGCCGTTACAGCAGATGAAACTGGAAACCGGCAACTGATATTTTGCTTTCTTATTGTGGTTGCATTTAATTAGAATCTACCAGCTCCTGTAGTTCTTTTTTTTTAGGGTGGGGGGAGGGGGTGATAGAGGGGGTAAAAATTAACTTTTCTACCCTAATTTCCTGAAAGGTATTTTTGCAAAGATGAAGCCACACGCCTTTGTTAAAGTTTCTGGTCTCTATCAATGTCAAAGATAGCTCGGATCGCTGGTGCCAGAACATTAGGTTGAAGAGAAATCAAAGCCAAGGACAATTAGAACAAAAACAGCGTCATAACACTACAAAAAGGTTATATTAAATTATTGTTCTGGTCTCACGTGCCCCCCCCCCCCTCCCCCCACCCACCCCATCCAATGTAGATTTTTTTTTCGAATATTAGAACATAAAAATCAACAGCCTGCTCTACAGACACTCAAGTAGATGTTATCGGTTTGTCTTAATGGCGTCGCTTTTAGAAAACTGTCGTTAGCAGCCTGGCTTCCTGGACCTTGACCTAATTCTCAGATTTCGAAAGAGAAAACTAAGCCATTACGCCCGATCGCAGGTCTGTCATGGGGAGAAAGAGAGAAAAGGTGAGAATGGGGAAACGACGGGTAGGCTGAGTGGTGTGGAGCGAGGAGGCGGGGCGGAAGGGGGGGGGGGAGGTGGCGTAAAGTGCAATTTTTGTATTAGTACTATACTCACATAGACACGGAAGACATTACTTCTAGTCTAACACAGAGGGATAGCTTTACCCCATCCCCGCCCCCACTCTTCTAAAAGCAGACAGACAAGAAACGACGAGGGGAAAGCAAAGGATACCGGGGATCGAATTCACACCGGTGTATAAATAAATTACAGTATAATGTTATAACATCAGTTTTCGAGTAGGTGATTGAGACGGTCGTTTTCTTGTCCTTTGCTCGTTTGTTAAAAGTGTACATTTACGTGTGTAGGAAGGTTCTTAGCTGTTGTTCTTTTAGAGTTGTTGCTAATGTTGATGTCGTTAACGTTGTTGGGTTTTTTTAATTATTATTGTAGTTGTTGTTGTTGTTGTTGTCGTTGTTGTCGTTGTTGTTATTGTTGCCATTGTCGTAGTTATTATTGTTGTTGTTGTTGTTGTTGTTGTTGTTGTTGTTGTTGTTGTTGTTGTTACTGCTGCGGATGCTACTGTGTTTGAATTTTTTGGGTGTATTGCCTGGAGGGGTGGGGATCGTTTGAGATTATTTCTGTTGGTGCTATCGGTGTTGTTTTATGTTGATGCTGGGCTGGATAAATAGAAAAGGGTGGAATGAAAAAAGGGGAAGGTATGGGGAGGGGGAGTTGATATTACTTAAAAGTAAGACAAATAAGATAAGATAGATAAGGTAAGATAATACTTTATTATCCCAGAGGGAAATTTTTCTTGGCTGTACAGGACCGTAAAAACACATGCACGTATACATTGAAAAAATTAAATTAAATATTATTCTCATTAAAAATCAATATGAAAAGAGAAGTATAGCGGATATAATATATATTCACATCAAATGCATTATTCAACCATATGCAGAAATTTAAATACAAGACCTTTGGAGTTATATATATAGAGAGATAAATACTCTAAGAGCAACACATATCTATGCTCATTCTGACAAAAGTGTTATGCTAGGTCGTAAAAAACTTCTTTTATATCTTTCTTTCTTTGTTTTGGATGTACATATCTGCCGCTGCGTTGCCTTACAATTTGTGTTGAAAGGGAGTGTGATGGGTCGTTTATAATGCTTTTTATCTTTTTTATGCGTGTGGTGACATCTCATCCATACTATTAAAATCACATCGAAAGGATGAAATGTATAACACCACACAGATTTTTAAAAAAAAGAAATTTTTTTAAAAATAGTGACCCTCTCGGTCTGTACAGGGCAGTCCTGAGCGTTTGTTTGTTTTGTTTAGGTAAGTATTTATTTAACAGCGCTCACAACTGCATAAGGTCATATGAGCGCGCAGAACACATTAAACTTTTAAAGTTTGGTAGGAACTAATTTTGAATTTGCCTTGGTGGCGGCCGAACATATCCTGATCGATTTAGGACCATCAAAAGATCTTTAATGAGCGCAACTTGCACACGGTACCTCTGAGATTTTCACACTTATCCCAGAAGGCTAGGTGTTTTATCTTACCTACCCTAAGATCAGGGGTGTGGCTGAAAGACAGTAGTATGAAAGAGCCAAGGAGTTACTGTAGAAAGGCTGCAGAAAGAGTCAGGAGCCCAAAAGAGGGGACAAAGCAGGGAGGGGGAGAGGGGTGCAATAAGTCTATAAGCATAAGAGGGAAGAGGGAGCGAGATTTTTAAATTAGTTTTTAAATCACTGCTGTCCAGATAACTTCACTCACCATCTGTATTGGGCAGTCCAGTTTGATACTCCGGAAAAAGTAGGGGTAGGGGGAGATAATGTCACGCACCATCTCTACCAAGCGGTCTAGTTTAATACTCCGCAAAGGGGGAGAGGGAAGAGGGGAGAGGGGAGAGATAGCGTTACTGCAGTCCAGTTTATTACTTTGTAAAGAGACGAGAGGAGAAAACGGAGAGAAAATGTCACTGAAGGGGGTCCATTTAAATACTCGGACAAAGAAGGGGTGGAGAAAAGATAATGTCACAGTAATCTAGTTAAACACTGCAGTAAAGAGGATATCATGAGGTGAGATAATAGTAACACACGCACTCCAGTTAAAAACTTCGACAAAGAAGGGGCGGAGGAGAGAGCACTCATCGTCTACATTGGGCATTCCAGTCAAAATCTCCGGATAGATAGATAGATAGATAGATAGATAGATAGATAGATAGATAGATAGATAGATAGTGTAACTCAGCTTCTGTACCAATCAGTCCAGTCAAACACTCCGGATAGATAGATAGATAGATAGATAGATAGTTAGATAGATAGATAGATAGATAGATAGATAGATAGACAGATAGATAGATAGATAGATAGATAGATAGATGGATAGATAGATAGTGTAACTCACCTTCTGTACCAGGCAGTCCAGTTGAACACCCCGGCATAGGCGGCCAGGTTGAGGGGGACACGGGGAGGGGGTTCAACGTTGTGGAGGATCCACACCTGATGGGAGACAAACATAATTTGCTATGTTGTTTGTAGGTATTTTGTTCGTTCATTTGTTGGTTGGTTCATTTGTCTGTCCGTCTGTCTGTCCGTCTGTTTGCTTTGTTTGCTTGGTCGTTTGCTTGTTTGGTATCATCATCATCATCATCATCATCATCATCATCATCATCATCATCATCATCATCATCATCATCATCATCATCGTTCACCCTGGGATTCAGTTTAGAACGCCAAGGAAGACTCTTCTACCTATCTCTGTTCTCAGACCTGATGAGGAACAAGACAGCTCGTCTGCTTTGTTTGTTTGTTTGCAGGCTTTGTTTGTTTGTTTATTTGGTGCCATCATCATTATTCGACTCTTTCACCCAGGTATTGGGTATAGGCCGCCAAGAGGGACTCTCTACTTGTCTCTGTACTGGCGATCTTCTCCACCTCCACCCAGCTGAGATCTGCCTCTAGATGTTGCTCCCATGTGGATCTTGGCATTCCTCTCTTTCTCCTCCCCTGGCCCTGGGGGTTCTATGGTAGGCTTTGTCCTGTCTCATTCGGAGTATGTTTATTTTTATTTATTTGTACAATTATGTGTTTGTTTGCTTGTAGTTTGTGCTTGTCTTGTGTCGACCTTATTTTGTTAATTGTTCGTTTGCCTGTTGGGTCTTGACTGTTTGTGTGTCCGTCTGTATTCTTGTCTTGTTTGTTTGCTAGTTTCTTTGTCTGATTTATTTGTATTATTTGCTTTTAGATGATTTTTTGGTCTGATTTGTCTGTTCGGTGAGTGGCCCCTATGGTGTTTTGTACTTAAGCAAAATACGTTAACCCAAGTTTAAATATAACAACAGGGCAAGGCACTGAGACGACCAGAAAGAAATGAGATCGGGTTGTCTATGTCCTGATATTATCACATACACCACAGAGAGAGAGAGAGAGAGAGAGAGAGAGAGAGAGAGAGAGAGAGAGAGACAGAGAGAGACAGACAGACAGACAGACAGACAGACAGACAGACAGACAAACAGAGAGACGCACACACACACACTCAAACTCTTCCTTTCTCTTTCTCCCTCTTTCTCCCTCTTTCTCCCTCTTTC